ATGACACCACAGCCTCGACCTGGGCTCTGGTGATCCTTCTGCCTCAGCCTTTCTTTCTTTTTCTTTTTTTTTTATTCTCTATTGAGTTGGAATCTCACTCTGTCACTCAGACTGGAGTGCAGTGGCTGCTCTCGGCCACCACAGCCTCCACCTGCTGGGCTCCGGCGATCCTTCCACCTCAGCCTTCCAAGTAGCTGGAACTACAGGCGCGTGCTACCACGCCCGGCTAATTTTTGATTTATTGTGGAGATGAGGTCTCGCCAAGTTGCCCAGGCGGGTCTCGAACCCGCGGGCTCAGGCAGTCCACTCACCTGAGCCTCCCAAAGCGCTGAGATTATAGGCTGAGCCACCAAACCCAGCTTCACATGTTTTCATGGTAGTTATCATCTTTTCACTTCCAAATGTATGACTTCCTTAAGCATTTCTTATAAGGCCAGTCTCCAGATGATGAATTTGCTTAGTTTTTGCTTATCTGTGAAAGATTTTATTTCGCCTTCATTTCTGAAGGATAGATTTGCTGAGCATAATATTCTTGGCTGGCAAGTCCTTCCCCCCCTACCCAGTACTTTAAATATGTCATCCCATTATCTTCTGTCCTGTAAGGCTTCTGCTGACAAATCTGCTGTTAGTCTAATGGGGATATCCTTACATGTGACTTGACACTTTTCTCTAGCTGCTTTTAAAATTCTTATTTGTCTTCAACTTTTGACAGTTTGACTATAATGTGCCTCTGAGAGGAACTGTTTTGGTTGAATTTATATTTGGAGTTCCTTGAGGCTTCTGGACCTGTGTGTCTAACCCTCTCCTAAGACTCAGGAATTTTTCTGCTGTCATTATTATTATTATTATTTTGAGTCAGCGTCTCACTCTGTTACCCAGGCTGGAGTGTAGTGGCATGATCACTGCTTACTAGAGACTTAACCTCTTGGGCTCAGGCAATCCATCCTCATCAGCTTCCTGAATAGCTGAGACTACACAGATGTGTGCCACCATACCTGAATAATTTTAAAAATTTTCTTTGTAAAGACGAGGTCTTGCTGCCCAGGTGAATCTGGAACTCCTGTGCTCATGCAATCCTCCTGCTTTGGCCTCCCAAAATGCTGAGATTACAGGCATGAGACACCACACCTGACCTTTTGCTATTATTTCACTAAATATGTTCTCCTCAACTTTTTCCTTCTCTTTCTGGAAAATCCATAATACAGATATTTGTTTGCTTAATGGTGTCTCGTAAATATTGTAGGCTTTCTTCAATCTGTTTTAATTCTTTTTCCTTTTTTGTTGCTATTGTCTGCCTGTGCTATTTCAAAATACCAGTCACCAGGTTCAGAAAGTCTTCTCTGACTGGTCTAGTCTATTGTTGAAGCTCTCAGTTGTATTTTCTTTTTTTTTTTTTTTGAGTTGGAGTCTCACTCTGTCGCCCCGACTGGAGTGCTGTGGCCGCCTCCAGCCACCACAGCTTTGCCTGCTGGGCTCCGGCGATCCTTCCGCCTCAGCCTTCCAAGTAGCTGGAATTACAGGCGTGCGCTACCACTCTCGGCTGATTTTTTTTATTTATTGTAGAGATGAGGTCTCGCTGCCCAGGCGGGTCTTGAACCCGCGGGCTCAGGCAATCCACTCACCTCAGCCTCCCAAAGGCACAGGATTACAGGCTGAGCCACCGACCCGTTAGCATTTTTTTTAACAGTAAATTATTTAAAAAAAAATTTTTTGTGTGTTGGAGTCTCATTCTGTCACCCAGTCTGGAGTGCAGTGGCACACTCAGGGCCACCCAGCATTGACCTGCTGGGCTCCGGTGATCCTTCCGCCTTAGTCTTCCAAGTAGCCGGAACTACAGGTACGCATTACCATGCCCGGCAATTTTTAAAATTTTTTTGTAGAGTCGAGGTCTTGCCAAGTTTCCTGGGCTGGTATCGAACCTATGGGCTCAGGTAGTCCACTCGCCTTGGCCTCCCAAAGTGCTGAGATTACAGGCTAAGCTGCCGAGCCCACCCTATAAAATTTTTTTTTTCTTTTTTTGAGTTGGAGTCTCACTCTGTCACCCAGACTGGAGTACAGTGGCCGCTCCCGACCACTGCAGCCTCGACCTGCTGGGCTCTGTCAGGCCTCAGCCTTCCAAATAGCTGGAACTTCAGGTGCGTGCTATCACGCCCAGCTAATTTTTTGATTTATTATAGAGATGAGGTCTCACCAAGTTGCCCAGGCGGGTCTCGAACCTGCGGGCTCAAGCAATCACTCACCCAAAGCGCGGGATTACAGGCTGAGACACTGAGCCCGGCTAAAAAAATTTTTTTTAGAGACAAGGTCTCACTCTGTTGCTCAGACTGGAGTGTAATGGCACTTTTTTCCCCCTAAGTTGGAGTCTCAGCATCCAGAGCAGGAATGCAGCCAGGGGAGGTCTGGGCCTTGGAAAAGGCTAAGAGAAACTTCTATATAAAAAACAGACATGAGGCGAGGCACGGTGGCTCAAGCCTATATAATCCTAGCACTTTGGGAGACGAAGGTGAGAGGATTGCCTGAGCTCAGGGGTTTGATACCTGCCTGGGCAACTTGGCAAGACCTCGTCTCTACAATAAATAAAAAAGTTAGTTGGGTGTGGTAGCGCATGCCTGTAGTTGCTTGTAAGGCTGAGGCGGAAGGATGGGCTGAGGCAGAAGAATTGCCTGAGCCCAGCAGGTCAAGGCTGCAGTGGTCGTGAGCGTGCCACTGCACTCCAGTCTGGGCAACAGAGTGAGACTCCCAACTCAAAAAAAAAGAAAAGAAACGTGGGTTCGAGACCCGCCTGGGCAGCAAGACCTCATCTCTACAATAAATCAAAAAATCTGCTGGGCGTGGTAGCAGGTATGCCTGTAATTCCGGCTACTTGGAAGGCTGAGGTGGAAGGATCATCGAGGCTTCGGTGGCCAGGAGCAGCCACTGCACTCCAGTCTGGGCGACAGAGTGAGACTCCAACTCAAAAAAAAAAAAAAAAAAGAAAAGAAAAGAAAAAGAAAAACAGGCTTGAAGTGGCACCATCTAGAGTGTGTCAGGGAGTGGTGGGGTCTTCAGGACCTAGGTTTGAAAATAAGAACCCCTTGAAGGTGTCTTAGCCCATTTTCTCCAGCTATAAAAGAATACACGAAGCCAGGCTCGGAGGCTCAGCCTGTAATCCCACGCCTTTGGGAGGCTGAGGTGAGTGGATTGCCTAAGCCCGCGGGTTCGAGACCCGCCTGGGCAGACGAGACCTCATCTCTACAATAAATCAAAAAAAAATTAGCCGGCGTGGTAGCGTGTGCCTGTAGTTCCAGCTATTTTGAAGGCTGAGGCGGAAGGATCGCCGGAGCCCAGCAGCTTGAGGCTGCGGTGGCTACTGCACTCCAGTCTCTAAAATGGGCGACAGTGAGACTCCAACTCAAAAAAAAAAAAAAAAAAAGAATACACGAAGATGGGCATTTATAAAGAACAGAGGTTTATTTAACTCGTGGTTCTGCAGCTAAAGGTTATGGCCCAGCTTCTGACAACAGCTTTCAGTTAGTGTCACAACATGATGGAGAAGGTCAAAGGGGACAGGGACATATGTGAAAAGATAAAGCATGAAGGTGTCCTGGCTTTATAATAACGCATTCTTATGGGAACTCACCCGTTCCTCAGAGAATGAATCCAGTCTCTCAAGAGCAAGAATTCACTGCCTGGAGAATATCACTGAGCCATTCATGAGGGATCTGCCCCCGTGACTCAGACACCTCCCCCTAGGTCCCACCACCCACACTGCCAAATTTGGGATCACATTTCAACATGAGTTTTGGTGGGGACAGACAAACCGTTTCCAAACCATAGCAAGAGGTGGAGTTTGGGAGGGGCTGCTGGATCAGATGCTCAGTGCTGTACCCCATGTCAGCTCTGAACTGAATGATCATGATTTTGGAGGCAGATCAGCCAGGCAGACAGATGCCTTAGTGCCAGGACAATGGAGGTGTCGGGAGACCCCTGGGCCACCCCAGGAGAGGTGCCTGCTGCAGGAGAGATGCCCACTCCAGAGAAAACAGGAGGAACATTTTTGGTAGGGGAGAAGAATGTAACAGGCTCTGTTTTTAATTTTTTTTAAGAGTCAGGGTTTTGTTCTGACACCAGTCTAGAGTTCAGTGGCACAATCATAGCTCGCTGCAGCCTCAAGCTCTGGGGCTCAAGCAATCCTCCTGCCTTAGTCTTCCTAAGAGCTGAGATTACAGGTGTGAGCCACCATGCCCAGTTAATATCTCTATTTTTTGGTTGAGATGGGGTCTCGCTATGTTGCTCAGGTTGGTCTTGAACTCCTGGCCTAAAGTGATTCTCCCATTTTGACCTCCCAAAACACTGGAATTACAGGCGTGAGTCACTACACTCAGCCACAGGCTCTTTTAGAGCTATGGAGTTTGAGGTGCTGCTGACATCCTGGCAGCATCCAGGTGAATTTGCTGGTCTGGACATCTGGAGGGAGGGACTGGATGTTGGGATTGCCTGGTCTTGCTATATGATTCATTCCATTGTTGTGCTGAGGCTGGAGTCCCTGGGCCCCTCCTGTCCACCCAAAGCAGAAACTTTACCCTGCTCACATCAGCAGACCCAGTGAAGGACCTGGGAGGGAGGACAGGGTGTATCTCCAATACATTTGTGGGGAGAGTTCCAGTTCTTCCTTCTTAGTTTTTTTTTTGACTTGGAGTCTCACTCTGTCACCCAGACTGGAGTGCAGTGGCCGCTCCTGGTCACCGCAGCCTCGACCTGCTGGGCTCCGGCGATCCTTCCACCTCAGCCTTCCGAGTAGCTGGAACTACAGGCACGCGCTACCACACCCGGCTCATTTTGATTTCTTGTAGAGATGAGGTCTCGCCAAGTTGCCCAGGCGGGTCTCGAACAATCCACTTATCTCAGCCTCCCAAAGTGCGGGATTACAGGCTGAGCCACTGAACCCGGCTCAGTTCTTCCTTCTTAACTCTCACTTGCTGGTCCCTGAGATTTGACCCTTTCTTCATCTGCCTTTGTAGATTCTGAGAACAACTCCATGATGGCATCGGCCCCAGAGGGCAAAATGGAATGTGGGGAGGAGCTGAAGGACGAAGGGAGCCCTTGCTTGTCTCCGGGCTCAAGCGATTGGCAAGAAAACCAAGACAAGCCCAGTTCTGATGGCCCCTGGATCACCAAAGAAGTGAGTACCCTGCCCCTGGCTCTCCATATCCCCTGGTTCACTCTTCCTGGAGCTGTTTCCTAATGTGGTTTCATCATTGACTGAGCATGGTCAGCCCTGAGCCACCCTTACTGGTCTCATCCCCAAGTGTCCTCTCTAGGACAACCTCACTGTATAGCTACCCGACTGGCCCCCCAAAATGCTACCATGGCCCAGCCCATTGAACCTACCCATTGGGCAGAAGCAGAGCTGCCTCTTTTGCACGTGATTGTGCATTGCAGGAGTTGATGGGTTCTAGATCCTCTGGGGCTTTCACCTTCATTTTCTTCCTACCAGACTCAATATGTGTCTTTCAGAAGCTGTGGCTGGGTACTGGGGCTTGAGCTTCCGCCATGTGTGTGTCTTGTGCTTCTCCAGGTCTCTTTGCATTGAGGATGCACATCTGGAGGTGCCTCACAGCTTTGGGTGCAGGGCAGGTGCTCTGGAAATATGCTGGCTGGTGGGATAGGTTCCCTTCCTGCACAAGTGGGTCTGAGCCATCTTTTATCTCCCTATGGCCTTCAGTAGGCATGTTAGACATTGAGAGGATGTCTCTTCAGTAAGGGACCCAGTTGGTGCCCCAGGGGAGGCTTCCAAAGGGGGTGTTTAGAGAGAGAGTGGAGAGAAGGGCTCCCATGCTCAAGGTCAGTCCTGAGAAGACCCATTAGCTCCCAGGTTTCCTGCTGGACACTGAGACAGGGAAGTTGTCTTTCTGCATCTGGGTTGGGGCTGGTTTTCTGTCTGTTCTTGTAGGTGGTGCTCTATGGTTGAGCTGGGGTGGGAAGTGATGCAGCTGGCAGTGCTGTGGTCTGTGGTGTGTGTGAGGGGGATGTGCATGTATGAGTGGTGTTACATGTGGGGGGTGGTTTTTGAGGGCTGTATATTTGTCAGAGGGTATAGGCCTGTGTCATTCTCTTGGGGAATATTCCCTCTGAGAGTAGGGAAGACCACCCCCAAGCCTGAAAGTTTGGGTTAACCCTCTTTTACACTTAACTTGGAACTCTCTCAGGGTCGAAAAGCAGCTGTGTGGAGAGTATACCTTGAAAACATTGAAAGCAAGGGAATAAGCTACTGCTGCCTGGGGCAAAAGATTACATTTGGGGCAGACAGTGAACATGCCAAAAGCCTGGGAGGAAAAACTAAGGAGAGAGTAAGTAGGGAAAATAAGAGTTGGAAACAGTTCTCATGTATAATGGAAAATGTAGAAAACCACACAAATACCCAGGCAGAACGCATGCTCAGAAGAGATCTAGGAAGACCTGCTTTCACCTGATCTTTAGGCACTGAGCAGGCAGGAAGTGAAGGCTAAGGCAGAGTCGTAAACAGCCTGGCTGAGTTTGGAGGAGTGCCCCAGCACAGAGCCAGTCTGCAAAGACTGGGAGAGTGTTTTCTTCTTTTCTGTTTTTTGGCTCCAGGTGTTTAAGGATATCTCTGTCAAACCACTAAATGGCAACAAGCTAAAGGAATAGAGACTTTAGAGACCACACACAACAAAGAATAACCTGTAATAGGCTTGTTAAGGTTTTTAAGAAATAGTTTTAAAAGTAATTAAACAACTATAATCCACAACAATCAACAACAAACCTTGAAAAAGAGAAAGAAAAATAATCTGGTTTCCACAGTTAACACATTATAATATTCAAACTGTCCTATTTGGGACAAGGCAATTAGGAAACTTGCAAAGAAATGCGAAGTCATAGCCCATCCACAGGAGGAAAATAAATGAACAGAACCCATCAATGAGGAAGCACAGACACTAGGCTTATCAAATACTTAAGATAACTGTTTTACATATGCCCAGAGAGCCAAAAGAAAGCAGGAGACTAATGTTTTAATCAACAGACTTGATCCAGTAAAGGTGTAGACATTATATGGGTTCCCAAGAAAACCTGGAATTTATTTCTAAAAAATTATTTATTCTTTTTTTTTTTTTTTTTTTTTTGAGAAAGCAGGATTTATTGAGGACAGAAGAGCTCCCACAGCAGGAAGGGGCCTGAAGGGGTTATCCAAATTATTTATTCTTATGTTTAAACTTCAGTCACCTTCAAAGCACTCTCCATTTGATGCAATACGCCTATCAAGACACTTTCCCACTGCTGAAACAGTTTTTGAACTCATCATTTTTGATGCCTATTAGTGCTTCTGCTGTTTCTGATTTCGCCCCCTCCATATTGGCAAAACATTTCCCTTTGAGGATTTTTTTCATCTGGGGAGACAAAAAAAAGTTGCTCAGGGCAAGAATGAGTGAATAAGGAGGATGAATGGAACATGGAGGTCATGGCATTTTTGGTAAAAAACTGCTGAACACTCAGCGTGGTGTGGGCATGTACACTCATAAGTCACCCATCATAAAATGAGCAAACACGTTGAACGAATCTCCAAAAAAAAATTTCACTGAAGCCAAATGTAGCCTCTCATAATGCTAGCTAGTACACCGATGCCAGTGGGTTCCTAGAACACTTACCTAGTGGGGGAAATCTATACTATAAGAGGCCTGCCTTCCAAAAGATGATTTTGAGTTTTTTGGGCCCCGCTCTCATAGAAGGAAACTAAATACAGTAGAACACATAGAGATTCTGGAACTGAAAAGTACACTAACTGAAATTTCCATTTTGAGCAGTAAAAAAGAACAAATATGTGTACTTGGAGATAGGTCAATTGAATTATCCTGTCTGAGGAACAGAGAGAAAAAATGAATTAAAAAATGAAGAAGGTCTGTGGGACACCATCAGGCTTACCAACGTGTGTAGTGGGAGTCCCAGAAGTAGAGGAGAGAGAGGGCAGAAAATATATTTGAAGAGTGTGGCCAGAGATGGTACAAATTTGATGAAAAATATTACTGTACACCTCCAAGAAGCTTAACAGACTCCAAGCTTGATAATCATAGACCCAAGGCACCTTATAATCAACTGTTAAAAGCCAGAGACAGAACATCTAGATATGCTACTGGTCATGTCCAAGGGCTCCTCAGTCAAAGTCACACCCAGGTTCTCATCAGAAACATGGAGTCCAGAAGACAGTGGGATGACCTGTTTAAAGTGCTAAAAGGGAGAAACAACTGTTAACAACAATTTCATTTTATTTTATTTTTATTTTTTTGAGTTGGAGTCTCACTCTGTCACCCAGACTGGAGTGTGCTCCGGCCACCGCAGCCTCTACCTGCTGGGCTCCAGCGATCCTTCCACCTCAGCTTTCCGAGTAGCTGGAACTATAGGCGTGCGCTACCATGTCCGGCTAATTTTTGATTTGTTGTAGAGATGAGGTCTCGTCAAGTTGCCCAGGTGGGTCTCGAACCCGTGGGCTCAGGCAATCCACTTACTTCGGCCTCCCAAAGTGCTGGGATTACAGGCTGAGCCACTGAGCCCGGCCAACAACAATTTTATATCTAGAAAAACTTAAAAATAAAGAAGAGATCAGGTGTGGTGGCTCATGCCTGTAATTGTAGCACTTTGGGAGGCTGAGGTGGAAAGGTTGCTTGAGGCCAGGAGTTTCAGACCAGCCTGGGCAACATAGCAAGACCCCATCTCTACAAAAAGATTTAAAAAAAGGAAGGATTGCCAGGCTCGGTGACTCAGCCTATAATCCTGCGCCTTTGGGAGGCTGAGGTGAGTGGATTGCCTGAGCCCGTGAGTTCGAGACCCACCTGGGCAGTGAGACCTCATCTCTACAATAAATTTAAAAAAAACCAAAAATCAGCTGGGCATGGTAGCGCGCGCCTGTAGTTCCAGCTACTTGGAAGGCTGAGGCGGAAGGATCGCTGGAACCCAGCAGGTCGAGGCTGAAGTGGCCGGGAGCAGCCACTGCACTCCAGTCTGCACGACAGAGTGAGACTCCAACTCAAAAAAAAAAAAAAAAGATATTAAGTGCAATCCTTAGGGTGATCACAAAAAAAAATAACTAAAAAGTATACAGAAACAGAATCAAAATGGTACACTCCAAAACAATGGAAGGAAGTCAGAAGTGGATCAGATAAGATCAGGCATATGGAAAACCGATGGCAAAATGGGCAGAAGTATGCTCTTGCTTATAAGTACAATTGTCCCTCTGTATCCTCGGAGATTTGCTACAGGAGTCCCCCACCAAGATACCAAAATCCAAGGATTCTCAGGTCTCTAGTATAAAATGATGTAGTATTTGTACATAATCTATACACATCTTCCCACATATTTTGAAAAATTTTATTTTTGAGTCAATGTCTCACTCTGACACCCAGGCTGGGATGCAGTGGCATGATGATGGCTCACTGCAGCTATGACCTCCTGAAATTGGGTAATCCACCCTCCTCAACCTCTCAAGTATCTGGCATTACAGTTGCATGCCACCATGCCTGGCTAATTTTTTTTTTGTAGAGTTGAGGTCTTGCTATGTTGTCTACGCATATCTCCAAAGTGCTGGGATTATAGGCATGAACCACCATGCTCTGTCTTCCCGTATACTTTTTTTTGTTTGTTTTTTGAGTTGGAGTCTCACTCTGTCGCCCAGACTGGAGTGCAGTGGCCGCTCCTGGCCACCACAGCCTCGACCTGCTGGGCTCTGGCAATCCTTCAGCCTCAGCCTTCCAAGCAGCTGGAACTACAGGCGTGCGCTACCACACCCAGCTAATTTTTTGATTTATTGTAGAGATGAGGTCTTACCAAGTTGCCCAGGCGGGTCTCGAACCCGCGGGCTCAGGCAATCCACTCACCTCAGCCTCCCAAAGTGCGGGATTATAAGTTGAGCCACCGAGCCCGGCCCCATATACTTTTATTTGTTTGTTTGTTGAGTTGGAGTCTCACTCTGTTGCTCAGGCTACAGTGCAGTGGCATGCTCGCAGCTAATGCAGCCTTGATCTGCTGGGCACAGGTGATCCTTCCGCCTCAGCCTTCAAGTAGCTGGAACTACAGGCATGAGCCACCACACCTGACTAATTTTGTGATCTATTGTTGACCAGGCTGGTCCTGATTCTCTGGGATCAGGCAGTTCTCTTGCTTCTGCCTTCCAAAGTGCTGGGATTATAGGCATGGGCAACTGCATCTGGCCTCTCTGTATACTTTAAATCAACCCTTGATGACTTATAATGCCTAATATAGAGCAAGTGCTAAGTAAATAAAGAGGGTCCCAAAAAATGGATACACATTTTAGGAAGAGAAAAAACTATTAAAATTGTAATACTCATTATATGCCAATAACAGAAGTTGAATACAAGTCACATTTTACTTCTGCAGTTACAAGAGGTGCTCAAAGTGGTTACCATCAGCATCCAGACACTTCTGAAAAATATTTGCCATATTATGGCAAACTAAAAGTAATATATAGATAACATCGCTTAAAATGTGTATACTTTTTTTTTTTTTTGCAACCCCAGTAGTTGTTATACTGCATTTTTTTTATTTTCTATTTATTTTTTTTTTGAGTTGGAGTCTCACTCTGTCGCCCAGACTAGAGTGCAGTGGCTGCTCCCGGCCACCGCAGCTTTGACCTTCTGGGCTCCGGCGATCCTTCCACCTCAGCCTTCCGAGTAGCCGGAATTACAGGCGCGCGCTACCACACCCGGCTGATTTTTGATTTATTGTAGAGATGAGGTCTCTCCAAGTTGCCCAGGCGGGTCTCGAACCCGCGGGCTCAGGCAATCCACTCACCTCAGCCTCCCAAGGCGCGCGATTACAGGCTGAGCCACCAAGCCTGACGTTATACGCATTTTAAACATTTTGTTTTCTTTTTCTCTGTGGATACATTGGCTGGAATGTATTATTTTGTATTGTTTTTAGTTTTTCAAATAGTTTTGATCCATTGTTGAATCTGTGGATATGGAACCTTCAGATACAGAAGGTGACTGAAATTACTTTAAATGTAAATATATATATATATATATATATATTGTTGTTGTTGTTGAGTTGGAGTCTCACTCTGTTGCCCAGACTGGAGTGCAGTAGCCACTCCCGACCACTGCAGCCTCGACCTGCTGGGCTCCAGCGATCCTTTCGCCTCAGTCTTCCAAGTAGCTGGAACTATAGGCGCGTGCTACCACGCCCGGCTAATTTTTTTTGATTTATTGTAGAGATGAGGTCTCGCCAAGTTGCCCGGGCGGGTCTCGAACCCACGGGCTCAGGCAATCCACTCACCTCAGCCTCCCAAAGGCGCGGGATTACAGGTTGAGCCACTGAGCCCGGCTTAATGTTAAATATATTAAACTTTCCAATTAAAGGCAGACATTAGCAGAATGGTTTAAAAAATGATCCAATTCCAGACGCGGTATCTGCCTGAATAGGAGGCCTGAGGTGGAGGCTCAGTCCGGGTGGCAGCAATGGTGGAGAGGCCCCATGACCTAAACCTGCCCAACGCCATAATCACTAGGATCATCCAGGAAGCGCTCCCGGATGGTGTCAACATCTTCAAGGAGGCCCAGAGCACCATCCCCCGCACCGCCAGCTTCTTTGTGCTTTACACCACATCCTGTGCCAACAACTTTGCCATGAAAGAGAAGCGCAAGACACTGAACGCCAGTGATGTGCTCTCAGTCATGGAAGAGATGGAGTTCCAGAACTTCATTGCCTCATTAAAAGAAGCTCTGGTGGATTGCCTGAGCCCTTGGGTTCGAGACCCGCCTGGGCAACTTGGCGAGACCTCATCTCTACAATAAATCAAAAAAATTAGCCAGGCGTGGTAGCACACGCCTGTAGTTCCAGCTACTGGAAGGCTGAGATGGAAGCATCACCGGAGCCCAGCAGGTTGAGGCTGCGGTGGCCGGGAGCGGCCACTGCACTCCAGTCTGGGTGACAGAGTGAGACTCCGACTAAAAAAAAAAAAAAAGAAGAAGAAACTCTTGGGAGCATATGGGCATGAACAGAAAGGCAAGAAGAAAGCTTCAGAGCAGCAGAAGAATGACAAAGACAGAAAAACAGATTCGGACGAGCAAGACAAGAGCAGGGATGAGATCAATGATGAAGAGGAGAGAGGCTGGAAGAAGAAGAAAGAACAGATTGAAGAGGAGGAAGTGGACAACTGGGTGGCAGACTGTGGCATCTTGGAAGGTACCACTCCCAGACGTACTACATGTTTCTGTGAATCTTTTCCATGCTGGGCAGAGCATGGATTGCAGAAGTGCCTGAGATCAATTAAAACTGACTAGAATTGTCATCAAAACCAGCACTTCCCAGACTCCAAGCATCTGGGTAGCTAAGCCCTGTGTTGCTTCATTGGTCTGAAGTTTCTGGGTTTTGGTGAGCCTGATTGTGAACAGCTAATTAAATTAGTCAGTTTAGCCGGGCTCGGTGGCTCAGCCTGTAATCCCGTGCCTTGGGAGGCCGAGGTGAGTGATTGCCTGAGCCCGCGGGTTCGAGACCTGCCTGGGCAACTTGGCGAGGCCTCATCTCTACAATAAATAAAAAAAATTAGCCGGGCGTGGTAGCGCATGCCTGTAGTTCCAGCTACTTGGAAGGCTGAGGCGGAAGGATTGCCGGAGCCCAGCAGGCCGAGGCTGCAGTGGCCGGGAGTGGCCACTGCACTCCAGTCTGGGTGACAGAGTGAGACTCCAACTCAAAAAAAAAAATTAGTTTGATCACTCTTGGTTTCTTATATGTATGGCTAGGTGGTTTTTGATCCCCAGTCTTCCTACTCCCCTCAAAAAAGTAATAACTTCCATACTATCTGCTGTGTTCCAGATCACAGAGGCAGTCAAGACTCAGGAAAAATTTGGGTTTGCTTACGGTCAGCCTATGTTCAGTTGTACAGTCTTTGATAATAGTAGCTTGTTGAGAGTGGTCAGAATGGTTAGGCTTTAGGAAACTACTAAAAAGCCGTGAGAGGAGAATGAAGTCTGGTGTTGTCTCTTCACTTGACAGTTGCGTTAACAGAATTTTGTTTTCTGTAGACTCAGTTGGCTTGGAGCCCTTCTAAATTGCCTATAGATGTTGGACCTGCTGTGGTGAAGAATGTTGAGAAGATTATAATACTTTGTACAAATAAAGAATGTTCTTGTTAAAAAAAAAAAAAAAAAAAGATCGGACCAGGCTTGGTGGCTCAGCCTGTAATCCCAGCACTTTCGGAGGCTGAGGCGAGAGGATTGCCTGAGCCCGCGAGTTCTAGACCTACCTGGACAACTTAGTGAGACCTCGTCTCTACAACAAATCAAAAACTAACTGGGCACGGTAGTGTGCACCTGTAGTTCTGGCTACTTCTTGTCTCTACAACAAATCAAAAACTAACTGGGCATGGTAGTGTGCACCCGTAGTTCCAGCTACTTAGAAGGCTGAGGCGGAAGGATCGCAGGAGCCCAGCAGGTTGAGGCTATGGTAGCCAGAAGCGTGCCACTGCCCTCCAGCCTGGGTAACAGAGTGAAACTCCAACTCAAAAAAAAAAATCCAACTATATACTGTCTATGAGAAACCCTGTTTATATTCAAAGACACAGATAGGTTGATAGTGAAAGGATTGATAAATATATTCTATGCAAATAGGAACCAAAGAGAGCAGGGGTGGCTATACGAATATCAGACAATACACTTTAAGGTTAAAATAGCCAAAGACAACGAAGACGTTGATATTGCTGCATGTGTCAATTCATAAAGAAGATATATTAAATATAAATGTATATACACATAACACCAAAGCTCCAAAACAAAGAAATATTGACAGAATTGAAGGGAAAAGTAGACAGTTCCATAATAATGGTTGGCAACTTCAATACTGAATAGAGCAAGCAGATAGATGATTAGAAAATGAGTAAGACTATATAGGCCAGTAGACCTAAGAGACGTATATAGAGTAAATACTCTACACAGTAACAGAATATAGTCTTTTTTTTTTTTTTGAGTTGGAGTCTCACTCTGTCGCCCAGACTGGAGTGCAGTAACCGCTCCTGGCAATCCTTCCACCTCAGTCTTCCGAGTAGCTGGAATTACAGGCACGTGCTACCATGCCCGGCTAATTTTTGATTTATTATAGAGATGAGGTCTCACCAAGTTGCCCAGGTGGGTCTCGAACCCGCGGGCTCAGGCAATCCACTCACCTCAGCCTCCCAAAGGCACGGGATTATAGGCTGAGCCTCCAAGCCCAGCTCAGAATATAGTCTTTTCAAGTGCACATAGGACATTCTCCAGGGTAGACCACATGACAGGCTGCAAAGTAACAATCGACTTAAAAAGAGTGAAATCATATAGGCGCCTTTTATGACCACAGTGGAGTAAAATTAGAAATCAACAATGAAAGGAAATCAGAAAAATTCACAAATATATGGAAATTAATACTCTTAAACAATTAATGGTCAATAAAGAAATCACCAGGAAAATTGGAATACTTTGAGACAGAGGAACATGAAAACACAACATAGCAAAACTTATGGCTAGCTAGGCATGGTGGCACATGCCAGTAGTCCCAGTTACTTGGGAGGCTGGGGCAGGAAGAACATTCGAGGCCAGAAGTTTGAGACTACAGTGTGTATGATCATGCCTGTGAATAACCACTACACTCCAGCCTCACAAAGTAAGGCCCAATGTCTAAATACATACGTGTGTGTGTGTGTGTGTGTATGTCTGTTGCTGCAAAAGCAGTGCTCTGAGGAAAATGTATAGCTGTAAATGCTTACATGAAAAGGAAAAAATATCTTTTTTTTTTTGAGTTGGAGTCTCACTCCGTCGCCCAGACTGGAGTGCAGTGGCCACTCCCGACCACCGCAGCCTCGACCTGCTGGGCTCCAGTGATCCTTCCGCCTCAGCCTTCCGAGCAGCCAGAATTACAGGCACGTGCTACCATGCCCGGCTAATTTTTGATTTATTGTAGAGTTGAGGTCTCTCCAAGTTGCCCAGGCGGGTCTCGAACCCGCGGGCTCAGGCAATTCACTCACCTCAGCCTCCCAAGGCGCGGGATTACAGGGTGAGCCACCGAGCCCAGCAGAAAAAATATCTTAAATCAGTAACCAAACTTTACATTCAAGGAACTAGAAAAAGGGGAGCAAACCAAACTTGAAGCTATAAGAAGCACAGAAATAGTAAAGATAAGAGTGGGTTAAACAAAATAGAGGAGAGAAAAATGACAGAGAAAATCAATGAACCAAAAATTGGTCCTTTGAAAAGACCAGTAAAACTGACAAACCTGTAATCTAAGAAAATGAAGAGAGAGATGAAAATAAGATCAGAAATGAAAGTAGAAACATTCTGCTGGCCTCACAGAAATAAAATGGAATATAAGAAAATGTTATGAACAACTTTGCATCTACTGTCTAACAAAATTTTTTAAAATATGACACTAAAAGCACAAGCAACAGAAGAAAAAAATAGAAATGGATAAGTTGGAGTTCATCAAAATAAAAACCTTTTCACGTATCAAGGACACTATTTGCAGGTCATGTATCTGATAGGTGTTACATATTTACAACATATAAAGAACTCTTACAACTCAACAACAAAAAGACAACCCAACTCAGATATGGGTAAAAGACTTGAATAGACATTTCTCCAGAGAAGATATATAAATAGCCAATAAGCACATGAAAAGATGTCAAGGTCAGAGTTGATAAAGGAAATGCAAATCAAAACCGTAATAAGATACCAATTCACACCTATTAGGATGGCTTTTATACAAAAAAATTGAAAATAACAAGGGTTGTTGAGAATGTGGAGAATTGGAACTGTTGTACAATGCTGGTGGGAATGTAAAATGCTGCAGCCACTGTCAGGTCACCAAAAAGTTAAACAAAATTGCTGTATGAGCCAGTGATTCCCCTTCTAGCTCTCAGCCTTAAAAAAGAAGACAGTATGGGCCTACACTACGACATGGATAGACCTCAAAAAACATTACGCCAAATGAAAGAAGCCAGGTAGACTAGGCCACACACTGTTGATTCCATTTAGATGAAATGTACAGAACAGACATATCTATGGAGACAGAAAACAAATTAGCGGTTGCCCGGGGGCTGGGAGGAAGAGGGAGTAGGGAGTCACTGCTTCATGCTACTGTTCCTTTTTGGGGTGAAGAAACATTGGAACTAGTTAGAGATGGTGCTTGTACTGAACATCGTGAAGTGCTAAATGCCACTGAGTTGTTCGCTTTAAAGTGTTTATTTTGTGCTACATGATTTCTACCTTAATGTAAGAAAACTACAACAAGCAATATTGTTGTGGGAGGGGATTTTAAAAATGCCTAAATATGCACATATCCACACATGAAAGAAATTCAGAATGTAGTACATAAGCGAACACTGATGGGGCTGTCTCCTCTGATTAACTCACAGGGACTTTTGTGTGTGTTCCTAGTCCCACGGTGAACCTGTAGTATCCTCAATCTGAGCGTAGTATTTGTGTTCTAGAGACTAGTTCTCCAAGTGTGAGTGCCATATTTTAATGATGGTGGGGAAGGGTGCCAGGGAACCACGGGAGGTGGCCCCAGAAGCTGAGACAGTGAGCTGCCTGACCAGCCTCATGCCCCAGCACACTGGGTCAGGGGGTCCTCATCCAGAGGTGGTGGGGAGGGTGGAGAGAACACACAGTGGGGAGGTCCCACCCCTCCTGTCACCTGGACTGACCATCCTCTGCCTGGACTCTTTGGTGGCCACTGGATGCTGACTGTCAGGGTGCCCTTTGCTGATTCTTGCTTCCTCTTGAGAGACTGCTGGGCCTGTACTTCCTGTGGTGAGGGAAGCAGAGACTTAACTGGAGCCAGCAATGAGTTGGGTGACTGACCCTACGGCTCCTAGGAGAGCTTCTCTTTCTCAGCTTCCTGCTGGGCTCCTTGGTGTGAACTGATGGAGCCTGCTTGAACTTTTGGGGCTGCCTGATAGGGTGAGGAGGTGTTGAGTGGGTGTGCCTGCCTCGGGGCCAGATTGCAGCCTTGGCCTCTGGAGGCTCTCGAGGCCTGACCTGGCTCTACCCTAGATGCCCAGGCTGGCCTGCTCCTTCCAGGTATGTCTCTGCAGTTGCATCAGTGTTGTGAGCACTAGCTGAGGCATTTGGATGGAGGCCCCAGGGAGCTGGGAGCCTGAGCTTGCCTGCATGGGGAAGTCGGGGTGCCTCCCTTGCAGCGTGCCATCTCTGGAATTGGGCAGTTCTCTTACCTGGATTTGCTCTGCCCGTCTACAAGAGCCCTTTCTTGCTTCCCTGCAACCTTCTGCCTGAACATCCAAGGGCTCTGGGGAGAGGGCTCAGTTCCCAGGAGTGAACATCCCTACCTAGGCCTCACCAAAAGGAGGCGGCCCTGAGGTAGGGGCCTGTGTGGGTTTTGTTGGCGCTGTGCACGGGGTGACCCTGCCCTGTCTGAAGGGGGTCATGTTTCAACAGGGAGTTGCATCACAGGTTTTTGTAAATGCTGTAGACTGCACATCTGATGAGTTGGAAGCTGCTAATTACATTCCCTGCAAAAGAAGAAAGGAGGATGCAGCCCCATTTGAGGTCGCTGAAGCATTTTCTACAGGCTCTGAGCAGGTAGTTTGCATAAATCATAGACAAAGTGCCTTCCCTCCACGCTGTGCATGCCACACCTCCCCAGCCCCCCTAGGTCCCTGACAGCTGAGGAAGGCTGCTGGGAATGAGCTGTTCTCAGGTTACACCTGGGCTGGCCAATGATAGAACAGTGCTGATTTAGGTTTTGACTTCTGTGATCCTGAGGTTACATTTCAGCTTTATGGTGTGTGTCCTCCCTTCCCCCATCCTTTTGCCCATCATTTTGTTTCTTGTACATCTATTTCCTTTGACACCTGGAGAACCTTACCCTACCTAAACTCCAAAGCTCCACAGGGAACACAGGCTTTTCTCAGCAAAAAGCAGGAGGTCTGGGCCCGTGGGGGCCATGAGACCAGCCCAGGCAGATGGAGTCCAGGTTGAGCCTCTGTCCCAGTCACTAGGTCATGGATAGTGCTGGCCACACCAGGGGCATAGCAGAAGCCCTGTTCAAGTCTTGTTTTTGGAAGTTCAAATCCTGATTTCTTTCTTTTTTTTTTTTTTTGAGTTGGAGTCTCACTCTGTCGCCCAGACAGGAGTGCAGTGGCCGCTCCCGGCCACCGCAGCCTCGACCTGCTGGGCTCCAGCGATCCTTCCGCCTCAGCCTTCCAGGTAGCCGGAATTACAGGCGTGCGCTACCACGCCCGGCTAATTTTTTTGATTTATTGTAGAGATGAGGTCTCGCCTGCCCAGGTGGGTCTCAAACCCGCGGGCTCAGGCAATCCACTCACCTCAGCCTCCCAAAGGCGCGGGATTACAGGCTGAGCCACCGAGCCTGGCTGCTGATTTCTTTCAAGTGGCATAAATAGCTAATATATGTAATGAAAGTACTCTTGCTTATGAGGAAAAGCAAGGAAACTTCATTCATTGAAAAGTGATGCTTGTGAAATTTCTTGCTTTTTTTGCAGAGGGTGATGTCTTTTTCTGGAGCAAGTTGGTCATTTGTTCATTTTAGAAGATTTAAGAGCAGCCACTGCCCACAGGTGGTACTATTAGATATGAGTGGAAAGCATTAGAGCCACGTATGATCTTTCCTCTACATGCTTGGACTTGGCAGTGAGCCCACTACTGTGACACTTGATAAATCCAGCCAGTGTCAACACAGGGGCTGGACTTGCCCAAATAGCAGACACACTTGCCCAAATAGCAACAAAGTATGAGAATTGACCCTCAAAATAAAGGACTGGCACATAGGACACGTGAGGAGGAGGCTCCAGAGCTCTATAGGCCAATGTAAAGTAGGACTTGGGTCCAAGGAGCTGTGGACCCTTCCTGAGAGGGAGGATGGAGGGTTTCATATGGCAGAGATGACTGTTCTCACCCAGACTTTTGCATTAACCAGTTGATGTATTAAAGCAGTATAGCTCCAAATGGATTCGGTTGTGGTTTTTTGGAAGTGGACAAAAAGATTCTAAAGTCCATCTGAACTTGAAATTGGTGAGAGTATTTATAAAGAATGGGAGAAAGAAGAAAAAAGGTGGGGAGATTTTTAGCAAAGCTAGAACCATAAAGTGATGGTGAGATTCTGAGGGAGTAACAGAGAGATGCGTTGATGGGGATCTGCATGGAGATGAGACGGTGTGAGCACCTGAGGTGGTGTAGCACTTGCTGACGGGAGTGTATAAATTGGAGCCAAAAACTTGATGTGTCTGAACCACAGGCTCCCCGCTGGAGAAAAACTGAAGTCGATTCCCAGCTCATACTAACATTAACTGTGCAGTCATGCCTTGGCCCTCCCTAATGGCTAGTGATGGCGAACATCTTTTCATGTGCTTATTTGCCATAGTCATCTCTCAGCATCTGCAGGGGATTAGTTCCAGGACCCCCAAGGATACAAAAATCCTCAGATGCTCAAGTCCCTGATATGATGTGGAATAGTATTTGCATATAACATGCACATTTTCTTGTGTACTTTGAAGCATTTCTAGATTACAGATAATATCTAATGCAGTGTAAATACTATGTAAATATTTGTTATATTGTATTTTTTATTTGTATTATTTTGAATTGTTGTATTATTATTTTTTACTGTTTTTTCCAAATATTTTTTATTTGCAATAGGTTGAATCTGTGGATGCAGAGGGTCAGCTGTATACCAAAATGATGAAATATTTTAATATAAAATAGCACCCTAAAAGTTCTAGAAAATATAGATGGATATTTATAAAATTATGTAAATATTTTTAAGCCTCCCCCAAAATCATAAATATTACTATGACTATATAAATAGAGGCCAGGTGTGGTAGCTCACACATGTAATCCTAACACTTTGGGAGGCTGAGGCAGGAGGATTGCTTGAGCCCATGAGTTTGAGGTTGCAGTGAGCCAAGATCAACAGACTGCACTCCAACCTGGGCAACAGACTGAGACCCTGACTAAAAACAATTAGATATTCTGCATCAAAGAAGACTGTTAAACTATTAAATGGAAAAGCAATGGCCAGGAAACGCAACACACACAAAGATTGTAAATGTAGTGCTTCAACAATTCTTATGAGGAAATAAATCTGTCCGCACATCTGCTGTAGATAGAATAACGGACAGAAGATATCCAGACAGTTTGCAGAGGAGAGGTAAATGGGCAGGAAGTATGGGAACACGATCCACTGAGGACTCATCAAAGGAAAGCGTATGCTGGCCACCCTGTGTGGTCCAATTTTGTGTGTCAGACAGACTGGGTTTCTTTGTATTAAAAAGAGGGTTTAGGCTGGTGGCTGCTGTTCCTGGTGTAACCTGGGGTCCACGTGGAGGCTGTGGCCCTGGGCTGTCAGGGAATGGTCTTCCTGACAATTGTCTTCTGGGGACTGGGTCATGGGCCCTCAAGAGTCTCTCCCGCAGCCACTCCTGTGTTTACTGTAGTCTTTGCATAGCTCCCACTTGGTAGGTAGAGTAGGTACAGCTAGGCCCTGAATCAGTGCAATGTGTGGTGAGCTGGGTGGGAACTCAAGTAGGGCCCCCAAACCCAGCCCAGATGCTGCTGTGCCACAAGTCCCCTGGGGAACGAGGCAGCTGGTAGGGCAAGGATGGTGTGATCCCTTCTGCGAGGCTCTGGTGTCTTCAGAAGGGCTGACTTGACCCACCAGGCCTCCTTAGCAAATTGAGGCTGACTGGTGCCCGCACTGAGTCCATGCAGCCTCTGCCTACTTCTTGACGGTGCCTTGCAGTTCTCTTGGGCAGCTGACTAGCTTGCGGTTTAGAGGTTGATATTTGTCCTGATGACACCTAGTGGGGGGTCTCAGTCCCAGACTCATCTCTAGTTGCTTCCTTAGAGCTGTAGCTTGTGCTGGCAAAGGCATTACCCGCACATATTGCCTGTGCTGTCTTTATATGTGAGAAAGCTGAAGCCTTGAAGTATGAGTCGGGTCAGGGCCCCACTGACTCTGCCAAGAGACTATTCCAGAACAAGAGCTCTAGGGTGCCAGCTTGCTAGGAAGAGGTGCTGGCCAGGTGCCAGGGGAAAGATGATGTGGTTCTCAGCCCAGCCCTGCAGCCTTGTCAGCAGCACCTGCCACAGGATGTGCCAGCTGGCCCTAGGGGCTTGGGAGCCAGGGTATCATTGGTCAGCCTCCTCCTCGGTGGCCTCTGAAGTCAGCTCTGCAGCCCCATCTGTCCTTGGCCATCAGTGCCCTGTACATGGGTCCCCTCCAGCCTTGTCTTGAGTGGCTGGCCTGTGCCCAGCCCTGGTACCCCAACTCCCTTGGTGCAGATGTTCCTGCTGTCCCTGTCAGCACCATGCCCTGGGGCTTGGCAACCTCTGCACTTACTTCACTGACCTCAGCCTCCTGCCCATCAGCTCTCCTCCTTATTCCTCTTGATCTTGACCCTTCATCTTGTCCCAAGTTAGGGGCACATAGTGGGTTGTGTCCTTCACTAACCAGCCTGGAGTCTTTCTCTCAAGTCCCCCACCCCCATTACCCAACTCTCAGCTCCCCAAGCACCTGCATCCTGCTGGGCCTATCTTCAGAACTTGGCCCTGGACCAGAGCTTTCCCCTCGGCCCTCTGCTTGGCTGTCTCTCCTGGTGTCTCTATTCCAGAGTTTAACTTAATTTACTTTAAGCTCCTATTTTAGAATCTGCCTAGAGGACACAAGTGCTCTCAGAGGTACAGCAGGTTGGTGGCCTGGGTGTGGGTAGCAGGGCTGAGGAGGAGGCTGGAACTGAGCTGAGGCCTGGGGGAAGTTGTAGGATGGAGGAGTCCTGTGTTTTGTGTACAGTGAGCATGGGTTTTCTCTGAACTTAAAGAAGAGAAATTCCTAGGCCTGGAGCTAGGAAGAAAGAGCTGCCACGTGGCCCTAAAGGGCTCACAGGTGTTGACCTGGCCTCCTCTAACCCTTGGTGGTTCAGTACTCTCCAGCTGCAGCCTGTGGTCTCTTTATGCCCTCTGGCCCTTTATGCCCCCTCTGTGAGCTGCACAGGGGCTATCTGTTAGCCAAAGGGCCCCTGAAGTGGCAGTGATGAGTCCCTGCAGCATATCATGGTCCCCTGGTTGCCAGATGCTGAAGAAAGGGCATTTGGCCCTGGGATGCATGTCAACATGTGTGTTCCTTCTGTCTCCCTTTCCTAGACAGCTTATCCCCAGGTGTGGGGGCTTGGGCAGTGCGGGGGCGAGGTAGGGGCACAAGGAGTGCAGGAGTACCAGACTTTGGGGATTTATGAGTCATTTGCATGCATGACCCATTAACACACACCCCAGAGCAGTGTTCCCAGTGAGGCAGGGCATCAAACCCCCTGGGGTCCCAGAGTCCTGCACGTCTCCTCACAAGCTCTGTTCTTGATGCCCAACTTGGGGCCCTGGAGCCTTGCTTCTGCCGAGATGCAGGAAGGAGCTGCTTAGACTTCCATTTGCCTTTCAGTCTCGTACTTGGCTTTATTCCATTCTTGTGTACACAGGGATTCTAATACAAGAGTGTGGTATGTGGAAGAGCTGTGTGTGCTCTCGCATGTTCAGAAATGTCTCACGGGACACTCTCAGAAGGAACTCCGTGTGAGGGTTTTGGCTTGGCTATGCAGGACTGCATGTGTGGCTAGCACCACACAGCCCCTGTACCTCAGCTCTGGGCATCCCCTTCCTTTTCATTTCCTTCTCTCCAAGATGAAGAAATTGCAGATTTAACATATGCAAGTTGGTTTGGTCCAGCTAAGCTTGATGTAGTTGATAAATGGAAACATTGGCTGGAGTATAGTGAATCTTAGAAATAAAATGAGTGCCTCTCTTTCTGTTTAGAGCAAAAAGAAGAAAAGGAAGAAGAGAAGTAATCGCAGCACTTCTTCATCCTCAGAGCTGGATTCCTTGCCCCTGTCTCCTTCCAGCCCCTATAGTCTGAATTCGCTTTCACTCTTGGAGACTCAGGATACAGCCCTGTCCCAGAACCAGAATCAGCAAGTTGGTCCAAGTGGCCAGCTGAACCAGACCCCCGGCATAGGCGTGACTCCGCTGGAGGGTGACAGCCCCGCCATGCACACTACGTTTGGCGATAGCCCCTTGCAGGGCCAGGCTGCAGGAGGAGCAGGAACCGCCCTGGAAGGCGAGGCTCGGAGGAGTCCCCCACCACAGGACCTGACAGAAGGGAAGGACCAGGACACCTCTGTTCCCTCTGAGGGCAGAGGCCTCTCCCAGGAGGGGGCCGGCCCTACCATCTCTGCTTGTGAAGGCCATCCTGGGGCTAAAGATGCTGCTCAGGAGATCCTGTTGTCTGAGTCCAAAGCGGGCAGCTCTGAGCCCAGGAAAGAACCACAGAGTGCCAGGCAGCGGGCAGGAGCTCCAGCCTCTGGGGTGAGTGGTCAGGGAGGGGTGGCCAGAGGGTGGCATGTGGAGCCCTCGACACCTTTGCTGTGCTGTACAGGCTGACATCACTTCCCTGTCAGGGAGGGAGTCCTAGACTTGCTCCCTGGGTGGGAAGTGGGAGGGGCTCCCCTCCCCCCAGGGTGCTACCCACCCTGTCCTTTGGCTTATGGCAGATGCTGACCCATTAGCCATTGAGTCAGTCTCCTGGTCGATTCTGTCACCCTGGCTCTAATGGTTTGGGGTCTTTATTTCTTCCAGGCAACCAATGCTGCAGATGAGCCAGTGAATTCAGGTAAAGAGGCCAGGAAAGAAATTAAAGACAAGACTGAGAAAACAAAACAGCCACCTGAGACCACTCCTGCTTCTAACAAAAAACACAGCCAGGTCAGCATCTCCTTCCTGCGTGGCTGTGCCTCCAGAAAGCCCTTGCCCTCCCTGCTCCTGCCCCTGTGGCCTGTTTCTTCTGCTGCTCATTTTTCATTTAATAGTTCACAGCTGGGACATAGTTATGCCAGAGACAAAACCCCTGCCTTCATGGAGCCCACAGTCTAGAGTAGCGTAAGACAGAAAACCAAGTCAGGCAGGGAGAAGTGGGATGAATGGCAGGCGGGCGGGTTGGGGGAAACTGAGGGAACATGACCCTGCAGCCAGAGCGGCTGGGCAAGGTCTTCCTGGGGAAGCAGTGAGGGGCAAGCCATGGAGGTATCTTAGGGCATGTGCAAAAGCCTTGAGGTGGCCCTGTTACCAGAACAGTAAGAAGGCCGGTGCTCCAGGAGGAGTGAGAGGAGGAGAGGCCACTGATGAAGCTGTGGTCAGTGAATGCAAAGGCACTGGCAGGTCCTGTGCAGGGAAGGGTTGTGGCCACTCTGGCTGTGAGAAGCATTAGCTGTAGACCTGGCCTTGAAGGTTGACATTTGATGACTTGTTTCAGGAAGCCGAGACCATGGACAAGATGGCTGTCACTGGAGAGAAAGCTGGTAAAAATGAGAAAGGGAAGCCAGAAGACTCGAAGAAGCCTGAAGGGAATGACACAAATTATGCAGCTGCGGTGAAGAAGGAGAAGGAGCCAGGAAACCAGAACGCTAGGACCCAGGAAGTGAAGGAGAGGTAGGGGGTGACCCCGGCAGGAGATCCTGCCTGAGCAGCCCAGGCGCACACCCTTCCTTCCCAGGATAGGGAGGGCCACACAACTCTGTGGTAGTACCAGGCTGCCCTTCTAGTTGGCTCTTCTGGCAAGTTTGATTTTGGAGGAAAGGGAATCCCAGGGAAAAGGGAACACGCAGAGGGTGGGTGGGGGAGGGGCCCCTGGCCTAGTTCCTTGTTTCCTAACAGTCCCTGGGAACTCAGAGCCAGCATGGGCCTTAGGGAACCCAGGTGAGGGCTGTCCCAGCCCAGACTCCTACTGGTCCCTCCTGCACTTTGGAGATGGGGGTGGCCATAGGCCACCCTCTGCACTCCCGTCTTCCTCTGCTTTCAAGGAGGCAAGAGAGCATCCACACGGGGGGCAGTGTGTCTGAGATGTGGACACGATTGTACTCTTGCTGGGGTGTGTTTGTGCGCATTAAATACCAAGGATCAGCCGGACTTGGTGGCTCAGCCTGTAATCCCACGCCTTTGGGAGGCTGAGGTGAGTGGATTGCCTGAGCCTGCGGGTTCGAGACCTGCCTGGGCAGCGAGACCTCATCTCTACAATAAATCAAAAATTAGCCGGGCGTGGTAGCGCACGCCTGTAGTTCCAGCTACTTGGAAGACTGAGGTGGAAGGATCGCAGGTCGAGGCTGTGGTGGCCAAGAACGGCCACTGCACTCCAGTCTGGGCGACAGAGTGAGACTCCAACTCAAAAAAAAAACACAAAAACTAAGGTTCGTGTGTGTGCACGCACGTGGATGGGTGGCCAGATTTTGCTATAATCAGGTTTCCGTTTCGACTTTCTGCCAGCACACTGAGTCCTGGTGAAGGAATCACGGTGTACTTTCACGCCATCATCTCTAAAGATTTTGCATTCAACCCGGACCACCATAAAGTCTTTATCAGGGGGGGAGAAGAACTTGGACAGCCAAAATGGAGCAGGAACATCTGTGAGCTGCATTGTACCAGGTGAGGGTGTCTGCAGGCATCCAGTCTTTGACATGTGTTTAAATAATAATTTTTATCAACTAAGTTGGCAATATTCTTAGACTTTTAGAAGATGACTATTTCAGACAAATCTTCCTAGCTTTGTATTTCTGTGTCATATTTTGTCGCGGCCCTTTTTTCCCCTTTGTTCTGTCTGGAAACCATGTCTTGTTCTAAAGTCTGTTCTTGGTTGGCATCAATTTATAGCTTTGGGTTTGCTGTTCATGCTGTGTTTGAGAAGAACTGAAATTTCTGAGGTGGGATTCTTGGGTAACTGGCTGTATTCTATTTATTCACAGAGACTTAAAGGACAGTGGCTGTCTCGTTGAAGGTAGTACTGTCATCTCCAAGAAGAACCTGAATAAATCCATTCCTTATAAGTATGTCATCTGTAACAACAAGAGCTCCTGTGATTATGAGTTCATCTACAAGCGCCAGCAGAAGGAGGGCGAGTATGTCAATCGCTGTCTGTGCATAAAGTCCTCACTTCTGGGCTCAGGAGGTAAGGCATGGGGCAGCAGGCTCTCTGTTCACACCTCCAAAGTGCAGGTGCCAGGTCTGCAGTATTGTATGCATCTCCCTGGAGGCACAGACCTTGTCTTGCCTGTGTCCTCTTTGCTGTGTGCTGGCTCTACCTCCAGCCTCGATGTTTAATTGCGTTAACTTTGGATGTTCAATGGCGTTGACTTCAGGTTATGTGTCTGGTTGGTTAAAGACATGTTGGCCACTCCTTTTAGCTCGTATGACTCCCCACTCACTTGCAGGAAGAAACAAGTAGAGGAGTTTTAATTAAGGGAAATGAATGAATGAAGAAAATGAAGCCAGAGAAAGGGCTGGGGAACGGAGAGGTGGCAGGGACCTGTGAGGCCACTGGACCCAACTTCCTTCCCTAGAGATTTCCAGATGGTGACTATAAACACTCTCGGTAAGGACACTGACAGCCCCATCTGCAGGCTCCTGCGGGGTGTCGTCTGAGCATATTTGCTTCTCCGTTCATCTGTCAGCGGACGCTTGGGGCTTGGGTGCGTTCCCCTCCTGTAGTGCCCTGTGTTGCTCTCCATCCCTCTCTCAGGAGTTCTCCCAGGGGTCCTCTGCAGACTCTGGCTGTCTTGGTCAGCCTGGACTCCAGCGCTGCCTCCTCACCTCAGGGGTCCAGGCTTCTCCTCACTCCCCCTGCCTGCATGGTGACCTAGAATGCTTATGGAAATGTATGGACATTAGTGAGAAAGGTCCTGGGTTCACCTCCTTTGTTCCCTTCCCTCGGCAACCAGTCCTTCATTGCCTGGTGTCCAGTGTCTTGAAAGCAGTTACTTATTTTGTCCACTTTTTTAGGCAAACACAGGAGACTGTAAATTTAGTCCCTGTTACTCCACCTTGGACGAAGGCAGAAATCCTAATAACTTCTTACAATCTTTTTATCCTTTTTGTAAGTTAAAAAAATTTTTTTGAGTCAGGATCTTGCTTTTTTGTTTTTGTTTTGCTTTATTTGAGTTGGAGTCTCACTGCGTGGCCCAGACTGGAGTGCAGTGGCCGCTCCCGGCCACCGCAGCCTCGACCTGCTGGGCTCCGGCGATCCTTCTGCCTCAGCCTTCCAAGTAGCAGAACTACAGGTGCGCGCTACCATGCCCGGCTAATTTTTGATTTTATTGTAGAGATGAGGTCTCACCAAGTTGCCCAGGCGGGTCTCGAACCCGCGGGCTCAGGCAATCCACTCACCTCAGCCTCCCAAAGCGCGGGATTACAGGCTGAGCCACCGAGCCCGGCCCAGGATCTTGCTTTGATGCCCAGGCTTGAGTGTGGTGGTGTGATTTATAGCTCACTGCAGCCTTAAGCTCCTGGACTTAAGTGACCCTTCTGCCTCAGCCTCCCAAGTAACTGGGACTATGGGTATATACCACCACACCTGACTAATTAAAACAAATTTTTTTGTAGAGGTGGGATGGTTACCCAGGATGGTCTCAAACTCCTGGCCTCAAGTGATTCTCCTACCTCAGCCTCCCAAAGCTTTGGGATTACAGACATGAGCCATTACACCCGGCCTATAAGCGTACATTTTAATAGCTAAATAATATGTATACCCCAAGAACTTAAGATTTGAGAGGATAGGCATTTGGTTCAATCATTCTATGGATAAATATGAAATTCCTGCTATGATAAATGCCACAACTTTGATACCCCAGTTAAGAGTGCATGTGGTAAAGGATTTGACCTGGAAGTCAGGATAAGCTTCCACAGGAGGTGTTGATGAGCTGAAAGTTAGACAGTTTACATGTCCTGCCAGGCAGGGAGGGCCAGAGCTGGGGTGGGCAGGCCTGCCAGTTAAGACAACAGTAGGCCAGGTTTGGTGGCTCAGCGTGTAATCCCAGCACTTTGGGAGACCAAGGTGAGTGGATCTGGTTTGAGACCAGCCCAGGCAACTTGGCGAGACCTCGTCTCTACAATAAACCAAAAATAAGCCGGACATAGTAGTGTACGCCTATAGTTCTGGCTACTTGGAAGGCTGAGGTGGAAGGATCGCCAGAGCCCACCAGGTTGAGGCTGGGGTGGCTGTGATCGTGCCACTGTACTCCATCCTGGGCGACAGAGTAAGACTCCAACTCAAAAAAAAAAAAAGAAGCAAAGATTGTTACATCAGTGGGCTCCCAACATAAAATCCCTCCTGGACACCAGATGCTTCCTACTAATTCTCCATTTAAATGGTATCAGTGTGCTATGTCCAACAACTTCGTGCTCATTATTTCATTTAGTCTTTTTTGCAAGCCTAAGTAGAAAGCATTAATACCATACACAGCCCACTAATGAGGAAACTGAAACTCTGAGAGGTTATCAGCTGGTGGAGACAGAGCTAGGAGTAGTATCCAAGGCTTCTACTTCTATTTCCACTTTCTATGTCATTAAATAAAATGTGACTGGGCTCAGTGACTCAACCTGCAATCCCAGCACTTTGGGAGGCCAAGGTGAGTAGTTTGCCTGAGCCTGTGGGTTTGAGATCAGCTTGGGCAACTTGGTGGGACCTCATATCTACAATAAATAAAAAACTAGCTGGGCATGGTAGCGCATGCCTGTAGTTCGGCTACTTGGAAGACTGAGGCGGAAGGATCACTGGAGCCCAGCAAGTCGAGGCTGGGGTGGCCGTGAATGTGCGCAACAGAGTGAGACCCCAACTCAAAAAAAAAATGAGAACAGCAGGTATCAGAGTAGGACTCAGGAGGCCTTTTCAGGAACTTCTTGTTATGCTGGACCCCAGTGAATCCATACACCTAGACTCATGCTGCCAACCCAGTCATGTGTGTTGTTACAAAGGTAGTCACCCCATGTTGTATGTTTTAGCCTGTGGTGTGCTGCCTTGTGTCACTAATTATGCAGTGGTATGTGTCTGACTACCTGTGTTTGTACTGTGGTCTGCCAGCCTAGTCCATTATGTACAACATATCCCACAGTGGTGGTGACATTGACCTATTCATGAACAAGGTGGAAAGCATGTTCCTGGGTTTCCTGGTAAGCAGAGAATTCACTGTAGGATGTGTTGTGATAATTAAAAGAAAATGGGTGGGAAGCCTTATACCAAGTAAGAAAGTGGCCCCAGGTACTCAGGCTAGCTGCACGGATGCACTGAGGGAGGTCTGCGGTGAGGAGGAAGGCAGCTCTCTGCAGACCCAACAGTCCGCTCTGTTCTGAAGAGAGGCCCCTGTTTGCGCCGAGTCAGCAAAGAGGTTTGCCATGCATTATCTATGGATGAAGGTGAGGTGTTTAGTAGGTACAAGAAGGGTGGGTTACAGCCATTTAACAAGACACAGGAAGTTGTGTCGTTTTGAGAGAGTACCAATCTCCTGGCAGCAGCCTGGTGCCTGGTTTATGATACCAAATGGACCAATCCCCTCCATGATGCATCGCAGGAGCCCAGAGTAGGACAGTGGGGGTATTATGATGTTCCCTAAAGAAAAGATGACTGTCCCCTTGCATGGAGGAGGACCAGGATTCAGTGTTTTAGAAGGGTGAAGGAAGTCAGGGTCGGTGGCTCAGCCTGTAATCCTGCGCTTTGGGAGGCTGAGGTGAGTGGATTGCCTGAGCCC